GAGCAATTGAATGATGCTTGCATCATTTGATGCGCATCGCTAGTGCTTTCGTTGTGCGTTCGGAGCACTTCGTGCGCTGCCGAAGATCCGAATGTATGGCGACAGCACAATCGATGCGCATCAAATGATGCAAGCATCATTCAATTGCTCGCATAAATGTATGTCTTTCTGAACGCTTGATTTTTAATTATTTATACGTCAATGAATTATATAGTCTATGAATTCGGTTTTTGAATAAGTACGTACTTGCACTACCAATACTTCAATAACTTTCGGGAAACAAATATTCGTTCGGTAAAGAAAGAAATTTGAAAACAGTGCGGAAAAGTTAGACTCACGGATGTAACTTCCTTTTTATTTAGGATTGAAAATCAACACAATCTTCATATAAATAGTTATGGATTTTAATGCGACTTATAGATTCAAGTCGAAATAAAATGTCTTACATCCGTAAGATGAACTTTTCCGCACTGTGATCCACAACATGCATTTATTACGTATCTTTTACCGTAAATATGAATCCATGAGAAAACTGATATAAGTTTTGCGATACAAATAATTTTTGATAGACTTTTCAATGCCTGTATAATATCGTAATCATGTGAAAGTTTGCAGATGTTATTTTTTTCACAAAAAGCTGACATTCTGAAAGTTTGAAGTAATTTCAATACAATTGAGTGGTACCTGCGAAAATTTTGTATGGGAGGTACCCCTAATATGCATTGAAATCTCTTCAAACCCCAATCATCCTGTGAAGTCAGTTTTTGAATTACTTTTCTTGTTTGAAAGTTATCGTGTGAACACATTTTTGCGTACAGGGTACAGGGTACGGACATCGAAAAAACGCTAGATTCGTGTTCCCTGGCTCCAAAAATACCCAGAAAACAGATTTTTGATGGGTGTTAATTTTTCGACCGATTCCAATACTTTACCTTACACACTAGGTGTGTGTGGAAAAGTAAAATAACCTGTGCATAATTTCACGTCCTTACGATATCATACAGGCATGGTTTCTATAGAATTTTTTTGTGACTTTTGAAATAAACTGAAATTATGGTCTATGTATGGTTGCAGTAACTTAAATCACCGTGAAAACTTGTGAATATTATTTTCTTATCAAAATAAATAATCCCACCAAGTTTAAAGAAATTTCAATAAAAAAAATAGCCTCTTCAAAGTTTCACATCATTCAAAAAAGGCATGTCTTTCATACAAAAATGAAATTTTTTGTGGATTTTTGTATGAAAAGTCTGTGAAAAATTGATTGCATCATAAAACTAACATCAGATTTGGGTTTTTCGTGCCGAAAAATCCCCACTACACATTTTTTCAGCGTTCAAATTGAAAGAATATCGTTTTAAGACATTTTTCTCATAATTGCCTCTTCAGAGTCTAAGTTTTACACAGATCAATCAATGTCGTTGAAAATTTGACCAGATCTATTCCTCATAGTGCCCAATCATCCCGTAAAGTCAGATTTTGAATTTCATGTCTGAGCAAAAAATGGTTGAAAAATGATCAAAAAATGTATGGATGTGGGTACTCCATTTGGACCAAAAATTACACCGGTCAACAGATATTGCTCAAAAACTAATCAGCACGTCTCCTAGAAGTCCCAAATCATTCTGCAAAGTCAGAATTTGAATTGAGTTTTTGGAGAAAGATTTATCGCGGTAACAAAAAAGTTGTGAATTTTTCTCCTATTCAGGGCCTCCATTTGACACACATTATTCAATATCGCTGAAAATTTAACCAGATGTACTCTACGTGGTCCCGAATCATGTAGTATAGTCAGACTTTGAATATCGTCTCTGGGGAAAATGTTATCGTGGAAAAACCAAAATTTCAAATGGATATATGGGTATACATTTTACACCGGTTAACCAATGTCGTTCAAAATTTGGCCAGATATACTCCTCTCAGTTCCCAATCATCCAGTAAAATCAGATTTTGAATATTTTTTATATGCTATGAGGGGTGACTTTAATTTTTTGGCCTAATCCAATACCTTTTCTACACTGGGTGTGCGGAAAAGTAAAAATTTCATATGAAAATTAACGTCTTACATATTTTTTATTTAGGCCAAATGTCATACAAATGGGTTCATCATGAAAGTGTAAAAAATCTTTTGCGAGTATTTCTGCTATTAAATTAAATAATATTTCGATGCCGCTATAGAGAATAGCTCAATAAAATACACATGAGACATGAATCACCGTGCGGAAAAGTTCGTCTCACTGCAGTAAGAGTCTTAGTTTCTTCTACTGTTATTTGATTTATCAGAATAAAAAACTTCTCGTTACTAGGTTAAAAAATATTGACACTGTGTGGATAGATTTAGCATATAAAAGGATATTCAGCTATCAATTTTAATGCCGCCCAAAAGAAAAAACAAAATTCTGAATAGAAATAAAAGTCTTATTGTTAACAACATTTCAAAAATAAATCCACACAATAAAACGAAAGAGTGCACAGTTTCGAATTCATCTTTGGTTTTGGTTTTATGATTAATTGTGTGTGTACTCACGGTCTAGTCCACCAACATATCTCATCGTAATTTCACAATGTCCCCAAACAGCTGATATAATTGGATATAATTTTTTGCCTTTCAATCCTCTAAACGCTACGCCGAGATACTGGCCATCGACAATGTAGCTAAGTGTTCCTTCATCCATATCGAGCGCAACCAAAAACTTATCTGGTACTAAAAATGCTTCATCTGATTTCAGGATCGCTGGATATGTGATACCTAAGGGGAGAATCACAAAAGAAAAGAATTAATTTAAAATAGTCGACAAATAATTGTAAAACAATCAATAATAATAAGTAAGTAATGTGATACCGTTGCAGTTCTTTGCATCGTGATAGAGCTTATTTCGGCCAAGATCCCAGCCCCAGCTTTGGTCATTTGAACCGACCAGACTTTGATAACCTACTGAATGTAATGGTGCTTCAGCTGTTGCAACGCCAACTACAGCATGTGTACCACGCTGTCGGGTCGACCATTGCACTTCCCACACATGTAAGCCTTTTGTGAATCCAACTTTGCCGCGTATACAGTCTGTACTTTGTGCAACTGGGTGGCGATGAAACGTTAACTTATCTTCATCTTTGACGAATATGTTGAGAGATCGATCTTCAGCGTTCCATGAGTGTTTGATTTGTGTTTCTAGCTCTGCGCGTGGCATGTCAAGCAGAATATCTAAGCGTGCTGGCCGTTCAAAATCAGCGGCCAATTCACGCGGAATGATTGGTTTAAATGGTGTCGGTGAATCACGACTAACAGATTTAACGCTTCCTGAAATTTTTTGTCCCATGCTCATGCCACGACTGCTACGCGTTTGTCTTCGATCAAGTATGGTTACTTTGTATGAAAGTCGCAAACGATCGAAATCACGCGTGGATTCCAAACGAGGTATGACAACGCGTGGTGTCAATACGGGTGACGTTGATAATGTTGCGTGTGCTCGACGGCGTTCACTTGATCGCAGCACTGGCCCACGACTTGCTTTGTATCTGCAAGAAAAAACACACAAACTTGAAGTTAAACTTTTTTTTTTGAAAACGAACTAAAACTATAATCCAAAATAATTGTGATTTTGCTATATTTTTTTAATTTACTTTTTTAACACGAAAAACATATTCCGAATGGTATTTTATTCATAAAAAATTATTAATAGTTTGGAAAACAAGTTTTTCATTTCAAGAGTCCAAATGAATTTTAAAATATATTTTCATCGTTCCCGGTTAGAACCTACATTGGTCAAACAAAATTATTAATGGGAAAAATGACAGAGAGACATTTGCGAAAATCAATGTTATACAAAAAGAACGTTGAGAGATACAATATTATAAAATATGATTCTTCAGAGGAAAAGAGACGCAGAAAAAAGTCTTTAAAAATGCAAAAAAACTTTTAAAACTTATGGTTCATTACGAGTGACGGAAAAAATCAGATAAGTCGAACTGATGCAGTTAACCTATTTATACGCACATATACTACCAACACCAAATGCTTCCATTTAAAAATTAAACTTGCACTCGTCGATAAACTTTTATTCATTTCCAACTCGTCAGAGCAATTGTCAAATCGAATGTGAATCCAAATAAAAATACAAAGAGTTGCAACGTTTTATTATCATCATAAAAAATGATGTCTGTATAGAAATATGGCAGAAAACACATTCTTTATTGTTTCGTTTTTGTTACGACCACAAAAGAAATATTCGTCATTCTTAGTTTTATTCCCGATTTTTGTTTTGTTTAAAGTGCAACGTTGTAACAATAAAAAGAACAAATATGACACAGATTAAATTAAATTAACGTAAATATGAAAGCAAAATAGAATAAAAAACGATCATCCGTTCAGTGTTTTTGATTTCATTGTTGATTCTGTTGCCGTTACATCCATTTCAGATCCATTATGAAGTAAGTGAAAAAGAAGGTTCTATCATCAAATTGTATTAGATACTCGCTCATCTCTATTCGAATAATTTTTCCCCTCGAATTTAGTTTGTCATTGTCGTGTATATCAATTTTGATATAATGTAGAGTTTATGTACGCTGTTTGACTGGAAAATGTTATCATGTGTTACATTTCTTTGTATATAATATATAAACTACACCAATATTCAAGTTCCCAATGGCATAAACGCACGCACAGCGATCGACAACGAGTCAGACTTATGTATTGCATGCGATTGAATTTGATATATATATATATATACGTATGTGTGTGTGTTTTACAGCTGCATATTTGCCACTAGACTTAGAGTACATTGAACTGAACACAAATATATTGTCACAAGCGATATACACATCCCCGACATATTTTATATTACTAGCTATACAAAAATTGAAATGCATTTCGCTGGTACTGTTCAATATTCACACAACTGTTGTGCATATGTATTATACAAAATAATATACATGCGCGAGACGACAAAACTATGGCAAACAGAACATATTTTTCCACATTTCTTTCTCTATCTTTCATTTAGTTCAAACACCGCGTACTTCGGTTAGTTGATTTGTTCTTCGCATATGAATTAGATGTTATAAATATATATCTAATGCATTGTTTCAAATAAATTTGAACAAAAACTACGAAAATTATTCCGTTAAATTTTGATTTAAGAATAATTTCAACATTCTATTAGATCAATATATTTTATATGTGAAATTCTAATTCGAACGACGAAAATTGATCTTAGCTGGATTCTTAGCTTGCCTTTCAAGTTACTAGAACCATTGATATTTAAAGCCAATATTTTGTGAGTAGTCATTTAGCCTGTTTTATGTGGGAAAACACGATCTATCTTCTGTTTCTGGTAATTCTGGTTTTGACTTTCGCTGTATTTGTTATAGGTGTTTGGTTCGAATATTTTTTACTATTCATAAAATAAACGTATTTGCATAAGTCAAAATGGCCACTTTAAATCACATCTGACCATCTTTTAAATTGCTTTCAGTTCGCAATATCTTTATGATGAAATCCTGAGCAGATTTATGAGTATCAAATGATTTCAGTTACAGAAGATCTGGCGTTCATTTTGAAGGTATGAGCGTAAAGACTTCAATTTGGTACTAAAACTTAATAGTATATCATAAATAGTGGTTAAATGATGAATCCATTTGCTAACTTGAAATTTACTCTCGGTGTCCACTGTCCAGTTATTAAATGCGTGTCACATACTTGAATAAAAAACTTTTTTATAAAAAGCTATCGACTGAAAGAGAATGGCTCACAAGAAATTGCAAAGGCACAGAACTGCATCCAAACATTTTCTTCTGTTTTTATCGATTGTTCAATTTCTTTTGCTATGCCAATAAAATGGATGTTATTTTCATTGTCTTTGGAAAAAAATACTTCGTAATCGTAAAAACTGGCTGAATACCAGATGTGATTTATCATAAAATTTGTTTGACATTGCAAGACAAGAGCCGAAAATATGGGTATGTTGTTGTTACTGTCTATTCTCATAGCATTATGAGACTTTGTATAATCCAAAAATATATATCATTGTATATGTTTCTAAGTTTTTGTCGAACAAAAGAGAGCTTGAGTATTAGTTTTCAGCATCAAAACTGAACGTTAGAAACAACCGAACGTTTAAAGATGCAAGACGAGTTTGCCAAACATGCAAAATTATATGTGCTGAGTGTGTTGGTGCGATACACACGACCATTTTATACTTCGATAGAGCTCAAAATATACCCATTTATACATATTTATTGTAGAAATACCATTTACAAGGAAATACACATATAGTTCAAAAGTATATAGACGCAGCATCAAAAATCCACACAACTGCCAACTTTAGGGTTGATTTTTTTCTTCACACAGACTGTGAGAGAGAGGCTACAAACGGAGCAAGAGCGTTATGCTGAGACACGCTATTTTCGACTGTGCATTCAAACTGCTGCGTACATTTCAAATCGGAATATACATACAATTTATTTCTATGCCAATGTACGAATTCACAGCGGATGGAAAATTCCAAGTCCAAACCTGAAATCGACTAAGTTTGAATCCTATAGGGAATTAACCGTAAACAGTTTACAAGAAGTATTTGTTACTGCTATGGGGTTTTTTCGTTTTTTTGTGCCCGAAAATGTACAAGACTGAAGCCATGATAATTTCGAACGTGCTTACAAATTCAATATCACAACATAAAATAGTAATACGAATTTGGTTGATTGTATATGTTTAAATGTTTAACGTTCTCGCTTCAACATACGTCAACGAACAAAAACCGACGCGGCTACTCCGGGTAATAGCGTAGAAAATTTATGAATACAAATAATATAATATCGCTGGAAAGCAATTTTGTGCACGGAAAACGAGCACAGGAAAAAAACTGAATCGATATATTGATTAGATGTCGTCAACGTTGCTGTTGTCGTCTGATGTGATCGCATGCTTGCAATTTTTATTGTATTTGGCGCTTTTAGGTTTGTTAACATTTGCGTCATGCCTCTATTTGTAATTTCATATCCAATAGGGTGGAACATTTTTGGCACAATTTGGTGGCCACTTGGCAAAACATGTCTTATAGTCCCCGGATTCAAGATATGAAGGAATTTTCAACTTAAGGTTCCATATAAGACAGCGACTTTAACGGAATGGAGGTACATTTTACTGGAAAATCATGAAAAATTGCAGTGACCCAATCACCATGAAAACTTGTGAATCTTATTTTCTGACCAAAATAAGTAATATCACCAAGTTTGATGAAATTTCAACCAAAAATAAAGGTGCCTAAAAAGATTCACAAGTTTTCATGGTGATTGGGTCACTGCAATTTTTCATGATTTTCCAGTAAAATGTACCTCCTTTCCGTTAAAGTCGCTGTCTTATATGGAACCGCAAGTTGAAAAATCCTTCATATCTTGAATCTGGGGACTATAAGAGATGTTTTCTTACGTGGCCATCAAGATATGCATCGAAATTCAAAAAAATGTTCCACCCTAATATCCAGCCAAGCATTCATAGTCTTTCTCTCTCATTCTCCTCTTCTTGATGCATTCTTTCGGTTGAACGATTCCTTGTGTGGCGGCCAAATATTTTCGAGACAAATTAACTTTTGCAGACCAACCCATTTTTCATTTTCCATTTTATTTTCCATAACTTCCCAAATGAGAAAAAGATGAAACAAAAAAAAATAAAAAGGAACTTACATCCGTAAGTCTAACTTTTCCGCACTGTTTCCAAATTTCTTTCTTTACCGAACGAATATTTGTTTCCCGAAAGTAGTGCAAGTACGTACTTATTCAAAAACCGAATTCATAGACTATTGACGTATAAATGATTCAAAATATCTGGAGCGTGTGTTGTATGGAAATATAAAATCACCAAAAATATGATTTTTTGAATGGTCGCAATGCCTGTATGATATCGTAATGACATGAAACTTTGTACAGGCTATTTTCTTTTTGAAAAAAACCAACACAAAATATTCGTTTTTGAGCCAGAAATCGAAATTTTTGTATGAGAGGTATGAGTAAAAATAGATTGTGCAAAGTTTCACGTCATTACAATATCATACAGGTATGGCTTCCATACAAAAATTCAATTTTTTGTGATTTTTTCAAAGAAACTGTTTCAAAGCTTGATTGCATCTTAAAGCAAATGTCAGATTCGGGTTTTTGGTGCCAAAAATCCCCCCAATACACACTTCAAACATTAATTTGCGTCTCTGGGGAACAAGTTTTTGCATACCAAACCCCTTCCAGTGCATCATGGATACACCGATGAACAAATATCGCTCAAAAATAATACCAACCCATTCCTCGCGACCCCCAATCACCCTGTCAAATCAGATTTGGATTGGTTTTTCTCTAAGAAGAGTTATCGTGCTAACAAACTTTTTGCGTACAGGGTATAGGGTACAGTGTACCTCATCCCCACATTAACATGGCACAAAAACGGTTGCTTCTCTATACCCAAAACGCGTAGAAAAGCGATTTTTAGCGATTTCAATTTTGGGGTGATTGCAATACTTCACTGCACACAG